GAAGTTTCTAAAAGAGTTGACTCATAATTGGAAACTTGTTTCAAATTTGCTGCTTTTTTCCCATTTGGCTCGCTCTCATTTTTAGTCCCCAGCAGTACAACTGTTATGGCCATTGGTAGTTTTGGAGGTAAAAGTTGAACATAAGGAACACAGGCATTATAGTTTCAGCAGCTGCTGCAGTTCTACCTGAGATATTGTGTTGGCAAGCATTGAATTCACTTCCCCAAAGCAGAAAAGCCACTCCCAATTGCTTTGAGCATGGCCCTGGGAGATGTTCATGCTTCTTTTTGAGCTGCCTTATTTCAGGACAGACATTTTCAGGCACAGAGGGGAACCTGAAAGAGAAGCTTTAATTTGAATTTTAACTTCTCTCTTATCTAGGGGCTGTTTGAAGGTCTGTGGGAATCCCATTAAAAGCTTAATTTCTGAAGTTCAGTTCTAATTCTGAATTTTCCCTGGGCTAAAAACAAGCAGGATTTTTTCCACCTGGATCTCTGGTATATATTGTGTCTTTGCCATCACTCTTGGTTGCATTGGCAGAACAGAAAACCTTTCATTTTGTCCATTAGGGGAATCTCCATTTACCCTGTGTGATAAAAACTTTTCTCATGAACATCATGTGCCTTAGAATTTCGTTCTTGAACTGTAGGTGAGAAATTATTCCTTGTGCTGGGAAATGGAGACTGCACTACAAGGTGATATTGGGGTTTCCAGAAGCATCTCATGCTGCACAGGAGTTCTGAGGTTCCCTGGCACACACATCTGTGCTAATGCCATTTTCACTTCCTTTCTGGTGCATCTCTTGTTTTGTGCCTGTGCTTTCAGATTGGTCTCTTCCTGCAGACCAGCAGCCAGCCCAAAGGATCTCTTTGCACATGGATCATCTTGGCTGCTGCCCAGGAGCTTCCCAAGAATATGTTAGTGACTAAAATTCAAAATTACCCAGCAGCACCCATTATTGGTTCCCTCACAAGGGCTTCTCAAGAATATCTTCTTTTTAAGGATGTACAAATAAGAGTTGTTGGTAAGAGCTGCTGATGCCTCACCACTGTTAGTGACCCTGGACTAAAGAAACCAGTGTACTTCTGCTGATGCTCTTTTGCTTTATATTGAGCTGTGGCATCTGGAAGGACTGCTTTAAAAAGAAATAAAAATCCAGGGTGCTGGAATCCTGGCAGGACAGTCCTGGTGACTGCAGGCTGAATGCATGGCTTTAGCAAGTGCCAGTCTCACTGGAAATTGCACTGTGGCCTCCAGGGATCCAACCTGACCCTGAGCTGGACTGTCCAGAAAGGGGAAAATTAGCCCATGGTTGACTCTGCTCAGGATTGCTGCAGCCAGGGAACTTCCAGTCTCAGTCAAACAAGCTGGGCTTGCCTAAAACTCATTTTTGTTTCTGTGAATTGGATCTCAGGCTTCAGTAAAGATCCATCCAGTTCTGGTTTCCCTACTTCAATCTAGGGAAAACACTCTGTGCTACAGGAAAAGCTTTATCAGTTGTGAATAACAAATGCTAGGTGGGGCAGGAATTTGTGTAGAATGTCTTTAGGGCTGCACAAGCATCAGCAACTGGGCAAGAAAGGATGCTGAAGTGGAAGGGGATCATGTCTTGGGTCCTTTCTCCATCTAAAAGTGATGTTCAAACTGCATCAAAATACCAATAACTCTGATACTACTGAAACAAATTCCTGAGAATGATGTGTGAGAAAAAAGGATGGGTTTAATTATTTTGATGTAATCTGTGAAGTTTAATTAGGTATCCAGTTTTAAATCCAGTTACGTTTGCATGTGGCTTTAGCACCTCCTCTTAATTCAAGAGGCCATGTGACCATGTTATTCTCACAGACTGCCCTGCAAAAGGCCTGTGAAGTTGAAATGACCTTCAGAAATATTCATTACTTTTCTCTGTGACCTTCTTTATTTTACTTCTGAAAATTTGTTAACTAACAATCTACAAAATGTGAGCTTCACTTAATAAGACAGAAAAATAGACAAACTCGAGTCAGCCAAACTGACTGTTCCTTCCTTTTTGTCAGAGCTGAACCTCAGGGAGCTCTCAGAAGAGGCCTTTCCTGCCTTCTTACTTTACTGAAGAAATGTTGTACCTTGTATATAATTCCAATTTGTGAGGATTTCAGTTGTAGAAAGAGTGAACCAGACTGTCCCTGTGCTGTTCCTGGTCCCAGTTTGTGCTTTTGGGCCTCTCCAGGGTCACTTGCACATTGGTCATTGCCTCAGCTTCTCCTTGCAGTGCAGTGAGAATGGTCTGTAACCAAACTCCCACCCACCCTTTTGATTCCACTGGGATTTGATTCTGGGAATCACACCTGCCTATCTGTGCTGCCCACTCTCTGTGGCAGCCAGGTACACAGGCACCCACTGCACAAATGAATAGTGCAGCAGTGTTCAAACACAGCTTTCTCCTCTGAATTCCTCTGTCTCCTATTGACACCTCTCTGTATTCTATATTTCATAATTGGGCAGCTCATGCATAAAAGATCCTTATTGATCAGCCATGATGTGAAGAAGTGCTGTTCAAACCTGGCATGGAGTTCAGCAGGAGTCAAATCAAGGACAGGGCTGGCAAGTGTTCAGGCTCAGGCACCACAGTGCTGAAATCTGCATTTATTCTAATCTGTTCAGATACGATTTCTGCAATGCAGCCAGTGGCTAAGGCTGACCTTAAACCCAAAGAATCCTTGGCTGTTGGTCTCTTTCCAAAGGCTTAATCCCTTTTGGTCTTGAGTTTCTTTTGTTCCTCCTTGTGCCTCCACTGAGTTTGATGGTATTTCTATGGCTGTGCTAGTTTTCCTGAAGCAGTCCTGCAAATTACTTATGGATTATTGGTATTTTTGCACTTTTTGAAGTAATAATTCCCCTTAATCCTAGTTCTGCAGCAGTGTTTCAGCTGACATGCAAGCACACTGGGAATTGCATCAGGGCTGCTGTGTTAGTGCAGAGGCAGGAGCCAGTGTGGTGCAAGCACTGCTCCAAAGGGCCTGAGCTGAGCACTCTGCTTTGCTGCCTGGGTTAAACCCCAGCCCTGCCACAGCACAGCTCAGCAGCTCAGTGAGGGTGCTGTGTTGTGTCACAAGTGTTGTGGTGGGAATAGAGAGGGACAAGTGAGAACCAAGGTGTGCTGCCCAAGTCCCCATCTGTGATCTCTCCAGGTAACCTGGCAATGCTTCATTTTATTGTAATAGGAGAAACCTTTAATAGGCAGAATCAGCTCTCTGTGACTGTGCAGGCAAGAGATTTCATCCCTTTTTGCTCACTTCCTGCACAACATCCTTGTGTCAGTGTGGAGAGAGCAGCTGCCTTCTGCTCTGGGAGGAGTGACCATGGGCAGGTTCTGGGCTCATTTTCAGTGCCTGCATCTCCCAGCCCCTGGTTCAGCAGCTGGGATCAAAGTCCTGCAGGGGGGCAGTGCTGGCACTGTCTGATTACACACAGAGCTGTAAAAGATTGTGGATCTCTAGAAATTTAGGGCTTCAAATTCAAGAAACCCTACAAGGTACATCTGAGCTAGAATTCTTCTGAGGGAGGTGATGCTCCCCCTCAGCTCTGTTCTTGTGAGACCCCACCTGGAATATTGTATATGGTTCTGGTGCCCCCAACATGAGAAGGACATGGAACTGCTGGAGAAATCCCAAAGGCCGCAAAGTTGATAAGGGCACTGGAGAACCTCACCTGTGGAGACCTCCCAGCACCTTCCAGGATCTGCAGGGGCCTACAAGGAAAATAGAGTGGGACTCTTCACCAGGATCTGGAGTGACAGGATGAGGGGGAATGGCTTCAAACTGAAAGAGGGGAAATTTTACACAGAGGGAATTCTCTGGGAGGGTGGAGAGGCCCTGGCACCGGTTGCCAGAGCAGCTGTGGCTGCCCCATTCCTGGCAGTGTCCAAGGCAAGGTTGGCCAGGGCTTGGAGCAGCCTGGGATGGTGGAATGTGTCCCTGCCCATGGCAGGGGTTAGAACAAGGTGATCTCTAAGATCCCTTCCAAACCAAACCATTCTGTGATTCTCTATTATTCTAATATTTCTATATTTATTTCAGGGACAACAAGATGCACCTTACCAGTTACATGCTCTTCCAGATAACAAACAAAACAACCTTAAACCCAACCCTCTAAATACTCTAGGAACTTATTTTTTACTATCACCATGACAGTGTGTTTTTCCCTTTGACTTATTTCCTGGAAACAGCTGAATCATTCCTTGCTCAAAAGCTCGCCAAAATTTGCAGCCAGGGGCATGGAAAATTTTGACCCAGAGGTTTTTAAAAAGCTCAAGTCAGATTGTTTTAATGGGGAGTGGCAGGAATGTTCACAGTGTGGAAATCTGGGAGCCCAGAGTGCAATCCACATACATGTAAACAGAACTGTAATGTTAGATCATCCAGGGGAATAGAAGAGGGAAAACTTTTCTTCTGTTTAAGGCATTCAAAAGATTTTAAAGCAATCATTTTTCACTAGGAGTGATTGTGTTCCTGGTGATTCACTACTGGTGATTGCGGGTAAGCACGGCCAGCGCATGAGATGTGCAAGTGTCCCGGAAATGTGACCCTTGCTGTAAATCTGAGCGACACGACTGCCTCTGGTTTCAGCCCGAGTGGAGATGTGTATCTCGGCACGGCGGCTGAAGCTCTGCTGCCTGTGGCAGCCGTTGTTTAGCACAAGCTGAGGTTCCCTGTCACATGCTCAGTGAGATTCCGCAGGACAAAGGCTCTGTAAATTGAATTACACCAACACCACCTATGGATTGGGGCTGGCGCATTTGCATCACAAACGCCCTTACAGTGTGCATGCCCTGCACTCACCAATTAGGCTTTCTTCCCAACCCTATTGGTCCTTCAGAAAAAAGGGAAGGGTTTTTCTTTCCTGATGGAGTTGCAAAGAAAAGCTGGTAATGAAGGGCTGATGAATGGTCTGATTGTGTCGTTGTTTGTATGGTTTCACCTTCATTTGCATCAGTACCAGGCACAGCTCCCGAGACTCATTTTTCAGTTTTCAGTGCTTCTCTTCTTTGGCTCCTGCCTGCTCTAGGACCAACCAAACAAGCACATTTATCTTTGCCTCCTGGAACACTCGGGATATTTCCCTTCGTGCATCCCAGGGCCCTACACGTGGTGGGATGGGAGCTCTCCCCAGCACATCTGGCTTCTGTTGTAGGTTGGTCTGGGAACCTGACACCAGCTGGAGCGACACAAAACGTACTGGGAGCCGTCCTTAATGCATCAACTCTGTGTGTCTCCATTTCCTGCTTCAAGGCATGGATCTCCTGTTTGGTATCTTTTCCAGCAGTTCCCACAGCGTGTTTGACACTGTAACCAACAGTGCTCACACCTCCAAGACCAGGGAAAGCACACAAGCAGCGTGTCAAATTGCTTACCCGGAGCGCCCCTAAAGGATCCCATCAGAACGGAGTCAATCTGCAAGGCGTGGAGCAATCCCTCTCTGCCTGTAGGAGCACACACAAGCCACGTTTCACTGGGGACTCTCCAGTTCTGCAGTTCTTTGCTTCTTCCTATTTTCCTGTCATTTTGAAAACATAGCAGCTGCCAAAAAAGAATTATTTTCTTTTTAAAGAAGGAAAAAAAGAGAATGAAAGAATGTGGCCCATTGTTTCCTTTATCTGTTCAGGGAACAAGCCTCATTGATTGGATGCCAGGAAGGGGATAATGCAATCTCCCATTGGGCCTGTTTGCATCTTCTGCCAGGCTGACAGTTAAAGGCTACAGATGGCCTTTGACAACTGACAACACTCACTGTTATGCCAGTGCATGACTTCATCTGTGTGACACTGCATGTGACTGCAGCTTGCTTCCTCTTTGCTTGCAGGAACTATTCTCCATTTCAGGAGCACCAGAAGAGCAGAGGAAGTTCCCCTTGCCAGAACCAGAAGCCTAAAAATGCCTTCCAGTATTGTTGGAATATTGTTGTTTGCTTGGGGCTTTAACCACCAAGTCTGAAGTTCAGAGGCCAAATTTGGTAAAGCTTCAATCCTTTTTTGAATGGACAATTTTCAATACTGGTAAGGCCCACGTGGACATTTCAGAGTGTCCCACACTCCAGAGTGCTTCCCAAAGGGACACCAAGCCTGCAGCTTGTGCTGGAGGTGCAAAGGCTGCAGACCTGTGCTGGAATTCAGAGGAGTTTTTGTTTTCTGTGAATCTTGGCAAGCTCAGGGGATGCTGCAAGTTGAATGAATGAAGTCATCCATCATCTAGCAGTAACTGGAGTAGGTTGAACTCATTCCCGTTCTGTTTTTTGCTTCAGAAGCAGGAAAAAATGAATGCTTATATTCTAGACTTTTCTTTTTGCCACTTTTAAACACAGGTCACAATTTGAATTATGGTTAGTAGCTATTACTTTATCTTAATTTTTATTATAACTGTTTGATCTAAACTTGGTTCTCAAGCCTCTTCTAACACATGTAATTTACTACTGGTTTTTTTGAAAAAGAAAAGGGAAAATACTTCTGTATTTTCTTCAACATTTTTTTCTGTTTATTACTCTAGGCAGGTAGAGAGCTGAAATAGCAGAGTGGTGTGGTTCACATACAGGTGCTGTCAAATAGTCCATCATGGATTGGGGATGAAATTTAGCAAATATTAGGCCTCATATCAGAAGAAGACAGCCAAGGAGTTAAATAGAGACAAAATTACTGGAAGTCATATTTTTCATCCCTTTTTAGTTGTAGTGGAACTCAGGAAGCCTCCTCTGAGCTACATGGCACAAGCATTTGAGAATCTTCATGTTAGTAATTCAGTTTATGAAACAAAGTGTTTTTAATATCTGGGGAACCGTGAGGAGTGCATATAATGCCCTCTCTTACTTTGAATATCACATTTCACTGGTCCTGTCTTCACCATGGAGCCACATTCCTGTGGAAATGCCCCTGCCACGAGGCTGTGAGCCTGCTCACAGATAGGGAAATGAATGTGCTTAGCTGAAAATGTATTTTCTTTGAGTGATTGTGTTGTTGAGTCTGTCAAAAACTGTGGGCAGCCTGGGAGGGAAATAAAAACTGACATCCCAAAAGTTGTTTGGTATCAGTGAGGAGAGCTCAGCATCTGCAGAGCATGAGTGAAGTCCATAACAGTTTCAAAAGGCAGTTTATTCCAATAAAATTTAACTGTCCCTCATAACTAAAATATCTTAATTAGAGGAGAGTTTAGGAAACCAACCAACATTCTGAGAAGCTGATTCTCTCTGTCTTGCAAGCAGGCCAGATAAGCCCTTGTGTGTTAATAAGTCCCAGAATAGGTCTGTGACTCTTCAGGATCACTTCTCCAAGCACCACTGGTAAAATAATGTGTTCCCCACATCCTGCTGAGAATGAGTGGGACAGATGCTGCAGCTTTCACTTTGACACTGGTCCCATCTGGTCAGATGGTAATCCAAGGGGTGACAAAAGAGAGGAATGACACTGACAGAAAGAATTTCTATCCCAGTTCCTTTGGTCATGTGCTGGACATGCTGGATGAGCAGTCAGGGTCACATCCAGCGTGTTGGGAGTGCTGAGTTCCAGTTCCTGTTGTGAGCTGAAATCCATCACCTCTCCTATCAGGCAGTGATTGATCTCTCCAAGCTGGCAGGCACATGGCCAGCTAAATGTCACCTCTGCTGTGATGCTCCAACCTCCCTCTTCACACACTCAGATCCCAAAATATTCATATTATTCTTACAGAGTCTCCTGATGCGACACCTCTTCTAAAAGATCTTGGATCAAACAAATTGATTGCTCCTTCTGCCCTTGGTTCTTGGGACAGTGCATGGATCTGCTTTCTGGTTTTGGGATTTCAGAATGTGTGAATTTCCCCCTTGTTCAGGCTGGTCTCTCTCTATGTGATGACGTGAAGTTAAGCCCTTGGAAAGGACAGGGAGGAACAGCAGCAGCTTGGCTCTGAGCTGTCACTTTGGCTGCCACTCTGGGAGAGAACAGCCTGGTGACTGGCAGTGATATAAATATTCAGGGCTGGATTGACAGTGTGCAGGACATGAGCCTGCTGGAACAGTGAAACTGAGACTTGACTTCTTTCCTTCTTTTGTGCTCCTGTGTGAAGGCATGAAGGGTGTCCAGCAACAAGTTTCTTTCTTTCCCCAGAATAAGCTGTTAGAGGACAAGTGGAGCTCAGCAGTGAGGAGTTGTTGGTGTTGTTTTCCACTTGGTTTCAAGTTCTGCACACAAAGCTAGAGCAGGTAAGTGAATATTGCTTAGCCTGGGTGCTGAGCCCAGAAGTGCTGAGTGTCAGGGCTGTTCTTGCTCCTCCTCAGCTGAAGAGGGGCTGTGTGAATGGCAGGGAACTTTGGTGTTGGCTACACGGGGCTGTGTTATTGCTGTAGGTCACCCCATTGCCTGTCAGTTTGAGGTTTGATGCAGAAGATAATGAGTTTTGGTGACAGTGAAGACACAGCTCTCAGTGGTACTTAGGGGGCTGAGCTTAAAATCTGATTCATGTGGTGACATCAGTACTGAGGAATGTTATTTGTGGTCAAAAGTGCCAGAGAGATCAATGGTTCTACTCCAAGACTAACCATTAAGAACAAGAAGCTTTAAATGGCTTCCTAGTATGCCTGTTTCCTGAATGCCAAACTGATCATAGAGCCCTTTTTAACCTGTCCACTCATGGATCAGGTCAAACCAGTGGGATCATTCAGAGGCACTCATCATATCCAGGTGGGATGGTGAGTACTGAGCTAAAGAGCAGCAATCCTGCTTATCAACAGACCTAAAAGTGCAGCAGCTCTGGGATTTTTTCCCAATAATGGAGCCAGGACCTTGAATATTTAACTGTATTGTGGAGTTGCATGTGAAGCAGAACCATTTCATTTCTGTACTCACATTTATGCCCTTTATTTCCTCTCTTCCTTTGGGGCATTTTCATGTACACAGCAGGAGCACACCTGAGATGGGCTCTGAAAATTGTTGTGTAATCTGTAGGCAAAGAGCATAGCAAGGAAAGTCATGAAAGGAAAACTACCAGATTGTGAAAGGGGACCAAGACTGACTTTCTGCATTGTTCTTATTGGCACATGCTGTTTCTGCTTCACATTCTTAGGTTGCTGAGAAACCCTGTCATCTGCAAACAAAGGCAGCTCCTGCAGGATGGAGTGTGTGCAGAATGTAAAGAGGGAGGTGTCTGTAGGCAGCCTACAGAAGATTGCCACGTTGCTGCCATGCACACAAAAAGTTCCTGACTTTTGGTACCAGGCTCACCACCCTGACAGGCAACCTGGTACACTGAAGGTATTTCATGTCAGGAAGTTTTCCTCAAGGTTTGACTCACATATTCTTAAGCAGTAAATACAGAGCTGGTATTAAGTTGTGCATTGTGGTCCAAAGCATTGGTCAGTGTTGTATTGAAATAACAGCATGTGGAATTGTAGCCTGTCATTTTCACCAGAACACCCATCTCTGGGCTTGTGGCTATTTCTCCATACCCTTGAAAACACTGGTAGCTTTAGTAGTAGATTTGGTCAATTCTTGCAGAGTATCTCTGGTTCCTATTTTATTGATGATAGAATTTGGTCCTGTAGTATCTTTAATAGTTTGGTCTCTGTGCATTTTTGTGTGTCCTGCCATCCCTTTATTTCATAGGATGAAATAGAGACTAAGTTCTCTTTTTTCCTCTGGGAATTCTCTCTGAATTCCTTTCTGAGCTGCTCCTCAGCATTTACCCACTGAGGGCCAAACCTGTCCTTGGATATTTAGAGGCATAGCTCTAACTAGAAAATGCTGAAATAAATAAAATAAAAATAAAATAAAATGTATTCCCAGTGGTGAACCAATGAACATTTTCTCAGGCAAAAGCTGCTCAGCCAGACAGCCTGAGAGCAAAGGCCTGGCTGCATTCAGGATCCCTACAGGAGGACACTGCTGGTAATGAAGTTTGTCACCAGGAGGCTGGTGGCAGCAGATGGCAGTGCACAGCCTGGCCCAGGGGTCTCTCACATTCCAGCTCCCCATTGAATCTGCACGGGGCTTCTCTCCTTAATAGGGGACTCGGAGCTGGGCTTAATGGGCTCTGACTAATGACTAAAAAGGGGAAAAGATGAAGAATTGGCTCCTTTGTGATTTTCCTTTCTTTCTTTCACCCATCTTTGACAGGCTGTAAATGGATTTTGTGTAGCTGCTGCATTTCACTGGGGAAATGAGCAGGGTGTGTTTTTAGATGATTACTCATTATCTGGAGGGTTTGTGCTCAGCCCTTGCACTGCATCCCTGTGAGACCAAGGAGGCCTTCAAGTTTCCAAGTGGGAATTCCTACTGGGATGTTGATGGGGAAAAAATTGCCTAAACCTGTTCATGCCGAAGGCAGTAACAAGACCTGTCTGACTTCATGGCTTGTGACTGAAGCAGGCTCTGGGGCAGCATGTGACTACCTGGCTCCTCTTTAGGAGCTGTGCCACTGAACGTGTGTCAGCACCGTGGGGAGAGAAAGGACTCCATTGTCTCCATCCCTCAGCCCACCCTCCTGCCTTTTAGAAGGCTTCAGATTTCCTGATAATTCTGTGTATGTTCAACAGACAGATTTTGGTGATAAGGTTAAGAAATGTAAATGTTTATCCTTCAAGTTTAGCATGCAATTCCAGTTTGCAGGAATACTCAATGGAGTAAATTCCCTGATGCCCCATGTTTGTACTGTGCTGGCAGAGAGCTTGGCATGTGCCATGTCACAGTGTTTGTAGGAAGTGTGTTTGTTGGATCAGAATTTCACTGGTGCAGTCTTGAAAAAAGAGTGAAGGTGATTAATAAACTAACACAGTTTATTCTGTACAGGGAAAAACCAAAACCAAACCTTTGTAATCAACCTATAACCAACTAGGAAAAAGTGCTGTCTGTATTGGTATGTCTTAGGTGAAGCTGTAAGGCAGGGAAGGAAAAACCTTTAATTCAGGCAAGCTCTTTTCAAAGCTGAAAATATTTGGGCTTTTTTTCAAAGTAGAGGGAGTCCCCAGACTCATCAGCTTTTCCAAAAGCCCGATATGGTTATGCCACTGCACTGTGCTGAAAGAGATTGCAGAGGTTTTTTAGTGGGGATTCCCACTTGGGTGTTTGTGGGGAGAATGACCTAGTGCTGGGTCTTGGCAGGTGAAAATGTGTGAAGCACAACAGGGCTGGAAAAGAGAAACCTCTCACAGATGGGGAAATGCACAGATAAATTAGGCTACAGATTTTGGCTTAGGACACCTGAAATGTTTGAGAGAACTTTACACAGCATGTTCCTTAGAGCTGGGTGATATCCCAGTGTCTCTAGGACATTTCATATCATCTCACTTGGCTCTGAGCAAGAGCTCCAGTCTGAAAACAATGAATTGACTTGGTTTAACCAGGTAACACATGGAGATAAAGGTTACATTTACAAAGGAAGCTGAGTGGCAGATACAAGAGGAATTCTGCTGTTTATTACTCTGAGAGTAAGCCAGAAAGAACAGTAAAGCCTGTCACAGTTTAGAGGAGTGTCTTTTATGTGTCTGCAAGATGAGGAAGTCAAGCCATGAAGATTTCATGTCTGTGGAATTCAGGGGCAAGATTCCCTAAGCAGTTGGGGTAATCTGGAGACTAAGGCTGGGGGACGAGGTTTGCTGGCACCTCACAGGTCTGTGTCTCCTCTAATAGTCACCAGTGAATTTTATCAGTTTCCTCAAATAATAATAATTAAAAAAATTGTTTAAAAACCATAAAAAGATGAGAAGGTGTTTGAAGGAAACAAGCCTAGAAAGATGGAAATAACCATATTTCTCCAAAAGAGGAAGGGAATGAAGGCAGTGTTGAGGTGAGGTGTGTCTGACAGGATGTGTGATTTGAGAGGAGGCTACTCCAGGCTCACTGCAGAGGCCTTTGCTCTGCTGGCATTTACAGTCAGAGGTTCTGCTCCTCCACAAGAAACAAGGGCAAGCCCAAAACCACAGACACCTCCAGGAGGCACTTAGGCTCAGCTGGCCTCAATGACACAGGGTAATTAGCATAATTACCATCTCCTTGTTTATGGCAGCTGAGGATCTGGCCAAAATAAGTGCAGTGTGCAGCACAATTGTAATGTACCTTCAACTCACAAAAATTTGAAACACTTGTAATTGCTGGTACATCCTGTCAATAACCAGGCTCAGTCATTCATGCCTGTTTAAACTCCACCTGGAAGAGGCAATAGCAGATTTTCTGATTCAGATATGTAAAATTAAGGCTTTTTTTTCAGCCAAGAGACATTTGGATGTGGTAGATCACCCACACTTTGATAACATAAATAATGAAGTGGTAAAATGCTCTTAGTACTCTACTAATTGGTTACAGTGGAAGTAAATGGCCTTGGTTGAAAATTGCTTAATGGGCAACTTGAGATAGGTTTCCTTTGTCTGAGAGCTTGTTTAGGTGTTTATTGTACTGTACAGATAACAGAGTTTGGGTCAAAAGTTTTTAGCCTAAGTCTAAAGAGCAAGATCAAAGTTCTAGGAAAAAAAGCAGTCTGTTTCAGGGAGGCTTTAATTGCATTTTGGAACAAGAAAAGGACAAAAATTATCTGTCTGCTGTTTGGTGGATGGAGAGAAAGAAAAGAATGATCAATAGAGCATGGAAATGAAAGAAGAATAATTGTAGACCTGTCAGTGGAAGTATTTTTTTTCAAACAGGAACTCAGTTTCAGCTGTCTCAGTTTTCCCACTGGCTGCTCCCTTCAGTCCTTTCACTTTCCATGGCAGAACTTTCACTGATCATTTCTGCAGCTGGACATTCCACATTTCTGCCTTCTCCCTGGAGATAAATACTGAATATCTTACAGCCCAGGTGGTTGCTGTCTGGGCTATAAGGGGAATGGGACACTCAGTGAATTCATTTTTCTGGTCAGAATGCAGTGAAATAATTCTCTGCTTAACTTGCTTGTGATTTTCTGTTATGCTTGAGCAGGATTATCTCATGTGAATTAAGTCTCTACCAAAGGTTTTACACATCCATCTGCTGTTCCTCTTTACCATCATGAATCTGCTGGAAGATCCCATTTGGCAAAGGCTGAGGTTGGGATATTTTCAGTGATACTGGAGTACTCCTGGATTCCTGGCATCAAACAGGGCCAACTCTGCAGTGCCTTGGGGCTGTGCAGAAATAATGGGAGCAGGGACTCAGGCACGTTCTCAGGGATAGTTCCTGAAATTCAGGTCCTCTCTTTGGGGCTAATTCTTTATGCACCTCATATTGCTGTCAGGCAACACAGCCTTATTTCCTTGAGCAAAATTCACATGGGCAGGTGAGGCTTGTTGAGTATTTTTGGCTCCAGTGTAAACACGAAACAATGTAAATCAAAATGTGCTGGATATAATTTTATTGCTGTTGTGATATTGATGCTTCAATGCACAAACAGTGAAATACAATTTAGGGCAAGCTAGAAACTTAAGGTTTATTGGAATATTTACCAGTGAAAAGGTAAATATGATATCTTTGATATCAAACTTGCTATCTTTGTGATGATGTAAATTACTGCAGCCTAATGTAAGCATCTGCTGGCGTATGAGGCCTATGAACATTTCTGCATTTTTGAAGTCAGAGGATGGATATTTGTCACTAACTGTTTTATAAAAATTGAATACAGATCCCAGCCTGATAGCCTGGTTTACCCTGCACCTGTTAAAGACAATTGCAGGGGGTTTGTACTGAGTACCATCATATTTTTGGCTGGAGTCTGCAACTTTTATACACATGAATTATTATATTTTTGTGAATACTTTTATTGAACTCTGCATGGAAATATTTTCAATGTGGAGCCTTGGGCAGTGTAAATTCTTTAGAGGAGCAATTATTCTGCTTAATTTTTGGCTGTGTTGTAACAGGAATTATAATTTAAACACATATCAGAAATATATTTGTAATAACTGAAGCAGCAAACACACTTTCTAAAATGTGCTTTGAGAAAGGACATATCACTTGCTAACCATTGAGAAGAAATTTGCAGGAGTGAAAAAACATTGGGTTTATGTAGGCTGGGAGACAAAATCTAAATTTGTCAGACTTGTCTGTGTTGCTGCATTTGACTTGTCATGCTACAGGTGATTAGGGAAATGGAGATTAATTTTTTAACTGACTACATTTGAAAAGAAGCTAAGTGTCAATGTTGTGGGCCAAATAAAATCTGGTCTCAGTGCTTCCACTCCTGTCATTTCAGTTGAAGTGCTTATGGTAAATCAGGTTTGGGCTTGACGATCAACCAAATTAAAGTCTTGCTGTGATCAAGCAAATTTCTACTGAGGTTCCAGTCATTC